AAATCAGCGCGCTAGAAGCACTTCACTGAATTATCCCTGTATTGTAAAAGAATCTGAAAAGCAACATAAAATCCCCTCTTCAATTATTGATACTTGAGCGAGCTGTAGCCTACCATTTGGGAGAAAATATACGTTATTGGGTTTATTTTGCCTTTGAGCAGAGCCAGACTAGCTGTTTCCCTGTTTCCAGTCGCTAAACTAATCTAAGCTAAGCTACTAGGCTAAAGTATCAGCAAGAAAATAATTAATCATATTTCCTGAAATTTCAAGCAATTCCTTTGACATTTGCATAACTCACTAAGTATTTCTGTCACTCACTAATGCTTTTGATAACAATTCTACAAATATCTGTTGAGGGGAGATAAGCGATAAGCGAGAGACATTCATTATTTCAGCTATTACAAATATTATGCTTCACAGGACAGCACGACTGAGTCCTTTTAGTAACTATTTTACAAGTTAAGTTTGTGCTTTATATACATGAATCTGGCATTGTTCTGAATATTATTTTCAGCTGACAGGCACCTTCCGGCAGTAGAGGACGAGCGCGGCAACAACAGATGAGGAAGCTCCGGGCCAAGGTAGCTACTCACTGGAGAAGTGGGTTGCATTATGTGTATACTGTACTGGCTGTGAGTACTGCAGGGTGTGTGTGTGTGTGTGTGTGTGTGTGTGTGTGTGTGTGTGTGTGTGTGTGTGTGTGTGTGTGTGTGTGTGTGTGTGTGTGTGTGTGTGTGTGTGTGTGTGTGTCATTACAGATGTCCTTGCCTTGAGCTTTCTCTACATGAAAATGTGCGCTGCTGGGGAGGAATGGCTAGCACCGAGTGATGTCACATTACACAGCGAGTAACACACAAAGGTTTAAATCTTAATAAGGAGAGGACATGTAGTCATTGCTAAAGGCGAGGTTCTTGTAATCCTGAATACTGGTTACTTTTTAAATAACAACCTGCACTTTGCCATTTGCAACCATTAAAAATAGCTCAATATCAGGGTGGATTTAATTAATTTAACCCTCTATTTATTGTAATCTTCACAAGACACTAGAGCAGGGGTGGGAAACCTCCGGCCCGCGAGACCATTTGATATGGCCCTCGAGGTAATTTATAAACACACGCAAAAAAGAAAAAAATTAAAAGAAATCTAGACCGCAAAATAACTAAACAATCGAGTGCCTACTTTTCCCGACCAAAGTCAGGGTCCTTGAACACAACACGAGCCAACCCTAGATTCCACCGGGTCTGTCTGCGTCGCGTTACGGCCGCGTTACGGCCGCGTTACGGCCGCCTTACGGCCGCGCTCGCAAAGATCGCAGCCACTCTAGTCAATGGGTGCTATTCCACCAGACGCGCCGCGTTACGTCTCAGAAGCGTCCCAGAAGCGTCTCGGCGCTGGGCTCCGCTCAAAATAGGACTCAAGTCTATTTTTTGATGCGAGGCGTTGCAGAGGCGCCGGGCAGGAAGTGGACCAGTCAGAGCATTGCAGACCCTATCCCTCCGTATTCTTTCAAGTAGGAGGAGAAATTCCAGCGTTCTCTTCCGGTTTACAGGCACTGTGTAAATTATATACAGTGGGGCAAAAAAGTATTTAGTCAGCCAACAATTGTGCAAGTTCTCCCACTTAAAAAGATGAGAGGCCTGTTATTTTCATCCTAGGTATACCTCAACTATGAGAGACAAAATGAGAAAGACAAAAAAAAAACAGAAAATCACATTGTCTGATTTTTAAAGAATTTATTTGCAAATTATGGTGGAAAATAAGTATTTGGTCAATAACAAAAGTTCATCTCAATACTTTGTTATATACCCTTTGTTGGCAATGACAGAGGTCAAACGTTTTCTGTAAGTCTTCACAAGGTTTTCACACACTGTTGCTGGTATTTTGGCCCATTCCAGATCTCCTCTAGAGCAGTGATGTTTTGGGGCTGTTGCTGGGCAACACAGACTTTCAACTCCCTCCAAAGATTTTCTATGGGGTTGAGATCTGGAGACTGGCTAGGCCACTCCAGGACCTTGAAATGCTTCTTACGAAGCCACTCCTTCGTTGCCCCGGGCGGTGTGTTTGGGATCATTGTCATGCTGAAAGACCCAGCCACGTTTCATCTTCAATGCCCTTGCTGATGGGGAGGTTGTCACTCAAAATCTCACGATACATGGCCCCATTCATTCTTTCCTTTACACGGATCAGTCGTCCTGGTCCCTTTGCAGAAAAACAGCCCCAAAGCATGATGTTTCCACCCCCATGTTTCACAGTAGGTATGGTGTTCTTTCTCCTCCAACCACGTCTAGCTGAGTTTTTACCAAAAGGTTCTATTTTGGTTTCATCTGACCATATGACATTCTCCCAATCCTCTTCTGGATCATCTAAATGCTCTCTAGCAAACTTCAGACGGGCCTGGACATGTACTGGCTTAAGCAGGGGGACACGTCCGACACTGCAGGATTTGAGTCCCTGGCAACGTAGTGTGTTACTGATGGTAGCCTTTGTTACTTTGGTCCCAGCTCTCTGCAGGTCATTGACTAGGTCCCCCCGCGTGGTTCTGGGATTTTTGCTCACCGTTCTTGTGATCATTTTGACCCCATGGAGTGAGATCTTGCGTGGAGCCCCAGATCGAGGGAGATTATCAGTGGTCTTGTATGTCTTCCATTTTCTAATAATTGCTCCCACAGTTGATTTCTTCACACCAAGCTGCTTACCTATTGCAGATTCAGTCTTCCCAGCCTGGTGCGGGTCTACAATTTTGTTTCTGGTGTCCTTTGACAGCTCTTTGGTCTTGGCCATAGTAGAGTTTGGAGTGTGACTGTTTGAGGTTGTGGACAGGTGTCTTTTATACTGATAACGAGTTCAAACAGGTGCCATTAATACAGTTAACAAGTGGAGGACAGAGGAGTCTCTTAAAGAAGAAGTTACAGGTCTGTGAGAGCCAGAAATCTTGTTTGTTTGTCGGTGACCAAATACTTATTTTCCACCATCATTTGCAAATAAATTCTTTAAAAATCAGACAATGTGATTTTCTGGATTTTCTTCTCTCATTTTGTCTCTCATAGTTGATGAAAATTACAGGCCTCTCTCATCTTTTTAAGTGGGAGAACTTGCACAATTGGTGGCTAACTAAATACTTTTTTGCCCCACTGTATATAGAATAAAGATGATGATGAATGCATTTTTTTACCACTAAAATACAGCAACACATCTTTGATTCATGTCGTTTATAACTGGGATATTACAATTATTATTAACTTTGTCTGTACAAAGTAGCCTGTCCAGGAAATATGCCCAAATCAACAAAAACTGCAAACCGGCAGGCAAGACGCTCCGCTTCTGAAATGCTTCTGAAACGCGCCCGGTAGGGTATGATGCCGGTGGAGGCCGGACCAAAACCACGGCGCAGCTGTATGGAAAGCCAATTGCGCCATTATACGTGTGAATATACGGACCTCCCCGTATATTTGCGCGTATTTTCGCGCGAATATACGGACCTCCCCGTATATTCGCGCGAACATACGCGTGTATAATGGCGCAATTGGCTTTCCATACAGCCGCGACGCAGACGGACCCGGTGGAATCGAGTGTCATCACTTGGTATGTCTCGTCTGAAAGGGGTGCAGTTCTGACCGAGAGCACCAGAACGGCGCTCCGGTACTTAAAAAATGGCAGCACCCATAAGGAGCCGTACACATGCTGCAGTTTTTGGCGTGGCTGCGGTCTTTAGTTGTAAGCCCATTGGCGATCTGTTCATCTGTCATACTGATCATACAGTCAATAACTTTGTTGTTATTAGCATCTGGTTAGCTAGCTATGCTAACGAATATAAGAAGCTTTTTCTACATCCAGTGAGGTAAAGGCACATCTTTATATGATCATTATAGTTATAAAAAAATAAGAGAATAAAGTAAACAGGTATAAAATACTATATGACAGTAACAAAAAGTTGTTATTAATAAACAAGAATACAGTTCCATATCCATATCCATATCCATATCCATATCCATATATGTCCATAACTTTCTGTTTTGGTGGTCATGCCACAACCGTGCACGTGCATGCATGCGCGAGTCATGGTAAGATATCTGGATTAAGAGGTTGCTTTTTCTTTGCACAGCATGAAATGAATGGGCTGTGATTTTTAAGCGGAGGTCAATAATTTGTACGGCCCTCGGAGGATGTTGAAAAAATGTAAAAGGCCCTTGAGAGGAAAAAGGTTCCCCACCCCTGCACTAAAGAAACAAGGTCAAAAGATACAGTATAGATTGTGATGTTTACAGGGGGCTAGGAAACATGCAGCAGAGCAAAGGTGGCTTAAGTGGGAAAGAGACAATGAGAAAACTCAGTGAGGGAGAGAGAGGAAGCATCTAAGTGAGAAGCACAGGATCCTGCTGCCCTCTAGTGCCAAACCCTCCAGTTCCCTCTGTGGCAACAACGCAATATGATACAGTTGAGCAGAGAATTAAATATTCATTAAATGTGAGAATGATAAAGCAGTATTTCACAAATCTTATTTATGAGATGTAATTGATATCACAGAGCTGGCATCAAACATGCTTGTCTCTAAAAATAAATGTAATCTTGTGGACAAGCCACAGTTTCTGATCATTTAAGTGATAATACTTTAGGGTTTAGCAGTATTAATGAGTGGACTATGAACTTTTCTAACATTTACTTATTTTTTTAAAATTTAGAAGCAGCCTTAATGGCTGTCCAGGCCTTTAATAACCTGTTTCTTGCATCATTTTAGGTTAACTCACCTCCTCCTCTCCTCAGTTGTATTAATGTCAAAAAAACTCTCTCTGTTTCTCTCTCCCACAGATTAACCCAGTGGTGCCAGTGAGCACCAGCACACAGGCGGTTCAGGGTTAATTTGTAAGCTTTTACTCCCCCTCAGTTCACAACACACATTGACCAATCAGCCTGCCTGTGTGTTACTGCGCGTCCAACGCCAGGAGTGAGTCACCTGAGACTGAAGAGGGTGATCTGAGTGGGCCTGCTGGACACACCGGCCATTTTACGGAAGGTATCAGTTCCTGTTCCCTCACAAACAGAAGCTCAAAGTCCACCTGCATGATCAGAGAAACAAACTTGGGTCAAAACGGTAAGAGAACTATCTGCTTTTCAATCTTTCTTATTGTCTTCAAAACAAACATGCTCTGTTAGGAATGTGTTCCCACTTTGTGGCAGTTTCATGACTTTGGCTGTGTATTAAGAGCTCCTGCAGCAGCACACTGTGAGTCACAGCTCAGCTTAAAGTCCTGTGTTATTAGCCGAGCCTGAGATGTACTGTAGTAAAGTTGCAGATTCTCTCTCAGTTGTTCTGGAGCAGAGCCAGGAATACCTTCATACCAACCCAAACTATCTGATCTCTGTGTTTAGAGGACAATGTCAGAGTTTTGGCAATGTTTTGGTGTGCCATAAATCACAAAGCATATAAGGTGACCAGCATATTATTAAGTCTTACTGACATCAAACGTCTACTGACAAAGGAAAGCAAATAAACAAGGTAATCAACTTAAAAGCATATTTATGAGGAAGGACGAAAGCTTTACTGTTTTTTTCTTGCTCTCAGCGATGTCATCAGCTTTGTATCCAAAAGCAGCAGGCTGCTGTTTATAGGTAACAAACTGTTAAAAACAGCAAAGAATCATGGATTCTAGCTGCTAAGAAACAAAAGGTAGACACAGTTAGGAGTTGTATCAAACACAAACAAAAAAAGTGATAAAAGCAGGGTGAATGTTGGAATGTCATTATAATGGTGGAATGAACAAGAAACAAATGCTAACAATTGAAAACAATTAAACATTGTGTTATTAAATTAGGATTTAAAAAATCATCTCTTTTTTTTATTAAACAGAAATTGATATAAAGTTGAAAGTTCATACTTCCTCTTTCACATTCCATTTTGCTTTGTTTCCAATGATAGATAATGAAGTATAGTTAAAATCATAACATGAGAGCTACTGAGGCTCTGATGTGTTAATTATACACCTTACAGCGTATAATTATATACGTATGCTTTCATGCCTATTATACACAACTAATAACTCATCTTTTTACCCCCCACAGTTTCTCCCTCTTCATGTCTGATAAGGATTTTGTGATTACTTCTTTCTCAATGAATCAACACAGTCAGCCTGCAGCATGAAGAACTGGAGCAGGAAATTCAAGAGACAGGAGCCTGACAGTGTGGTCGGCTCCTCCTCAAGCAAGAGGAACTCCATTAGTGATCCACCAGTGCCTGTGTGGGTGACTCACACACCCACACCAGATAATATCACAGAGGATGGCGACAATAACTCCACAGGCCGCACATCCAGCACTGCACCGTATGCAGAGAAGGAGGAAGCAAAAGGGAGCATGAAGGAAAGGCTGAGATCCCTCATCCCTCAGGCATGGGGTGGCATCATGCATAAATGGAAAAAGGAAGGGGACAGTTTTAATGACTCTGAAGCCAGCAGCAACAGGATCCAGATCCTTCCTAATGGCACCAGAGTGAGCCCTCCTGTGAGTCCCCTGCTGGAGCGCAGGAAGTGGGGTGATTCACTTCCCAACTCCAGCTGTAACTCCCAGAAGCCTTTGCTGAGGGAAAGCCCTTCTGATGATCTGTTCGATCTGAACCCACGAGAGGAATCCCTCCTCACGAGTATCCACCCTGCAGAGTACTACGCTGAGAAGCTGGAGGTCTACAACCAGAAGTACTCTTATTTGAAATCCTGGCCAGGGTTGCTCAGACTTCTTTCCGGAATTCAGCTCCTTTTTGGGGGCATGGTCTTGGCCTGCGTCATCGGTTACATCCAGAAAGACAATGAGTGGTCCAACAGCTACGGACTCTATAACGGTGCTTATAACAACGGACTAGGCATGTCTGGATACAGCTACAGAGGCCCCATGACGCCCTTTATACTGGCAGTAGCTGGAATCTCCTGGATTATAACCTTCATTCTCTTAGTGATGGGAATGACGATGTATTACCGCACCATCCTCCTCGATGCCCCCTGGTGGCCTCTGACGGAGGGCCTAATTAACGTGGCGCTGTTCCTGCTCTACATGGCGACGGGGATCGTCTACCTAAATGACTTGAACCGCGGGGGGCTATGCTACACGACGATAGGCGTTAACCCCATCATGGCCAGTCTGTGTCGGGTGGAAGGGGGCCAGATGGCGGGAACAGCTTTCATCTTCATCAACATGGCCTTGTATCTGGCTAGCTTCCTTGTGTGTCTGAAGATGTGGAGACATGAGGCCGCTCGTAGGGAGAGGGAATACTTTGAAAAAAAGGTACTTGTCATCAATTCTAATGAGAGTTTAGATTAAAGAAAAGATCATTGCATATAAAGGCTGGGCATCACTCTCTTTTTTGTCATTTATTGCGCTTGTTTAAAATAAAACATGACAAATACCCTGTTTATTGTTGACAACAGTAATGGATACTATTTACTCATGGCAAATGAGCCCACAACAGCCCTAAAACCAGAGCGTCAAATCAAATCGAATAAAATATAAAGTCATTCAAGATAATCTACAGTGAGCCATGCCAATTTGTGGTTATTGATTTGTCAGCCTTTTCCAATGGCAGCCAGGATTTGTCTAAAAGCTGTAAACTGTGTTTTTCCTCAATTCATTGAACAAGCAGTTCTCTTTGTGTAAATGTGCCAGATATAGAAAAAGTAACAGTGAAGTAGACATTCCTATTCTACTTGTTCTCTCTCTGTTCATTTGTCTGATGTTTTTTGCGATGAATATAAAATGACAAGCAAACACAATTAAGAAGGATCAATGGCGGTATTGTATAGATATTGAATTATGAAAGACAAAGTTGCTGTGGCCTGTATTTTTGTAGAACCAACATTTTTTTAATAAACAGCACAAAATATACACATATATACTGCTCTGATAAAATAACTGAAGATAGAAAATAATATAGCAACAACAGCATTACTACGTGAAGCCCATGTTATGTAGCATGTTAGCAAGACCAGTCCATGGTCATCCTAGCAGCTCTGTGAGGCAGTATGCACACTGCGGTTTCAGCTCAAAGCTAACATCATTGTAAAGTTTATAAGTTAAAGTTTATAAGTTACAGTTTACCATGTTTACCATCTTTGCGTATTACGCTGTTGATATTTTTCAGTCCAGTCCAACAGATTAACCGACTATGGAGCAGCTAGAATCTTTTAGCACAAATAGCTAATGTTGAATGTGACTGGAAGCTGATCCTATTTAATTTGTACTAAATTCCCATTTACCATTTCAGTGCGCAAAAAATACAATCTTTTTTAGAATTAGACTAGACTGTTGTATTTTGTTTTTTTTATTAAGATTGTTTTTAGTAATGTCAATCAACACAGACTAGTTCGCTCGTTACTGTTTGCTAATAGACTCGAGTTTTCCAGCATTGCAGCCACCACCAATCGGTGAGAAACGGCATGGTTAGCTACTATATTTGATATTACAGGCCTGCACAGAGTGATTTATGACTTATTACATCCTTTATTTTGTATTTTTGTTTCAATGATCCTCTGTCTTTCTTACCTTTAGCCCAAGGAGGAGTTTCACCAGTCCATCCCACTAACACCTCAAAAAACAAAGCACATTTCATTCAAGGATGAAACGGATAAGTCTCTGAGTACAGGTTTTACCAACCAAAAAGTGCTCCATAAGAACCCAGTCAGTGTGAACAGAGCCACAGCGTCTGAATACACTCCCAAAGTTCACATCATCGCAGACTATATCATGTGAGTGAACATTTGAGCTATGCATGTTATAGAGTTGTATAAATAATGTACTCAAGATTTCTTTCTATCTATTAGTCATTTATACTTCCTACTGTTCAATGTAATCGAATGTCTTTCTTCTTTCCGATAGAAAGTATCCAGAGATCAGCTGTGTGGAAAAAAGGGAAAAGTACAAAGCGGTTTTCAATGACCAGTATCAGGAATACAAGGACCTTCACAGAGACATCAGCAGCACCCTCCAGAAGTTCAGAGAGCTGGACGCCACCATGGCACAACTTCCCAGAGAGGGAAAAAGCCAAGAGGTGAGCGACCTTTACTAAACCATTTCCATAATTAATATAAACCACTCCTTTAATTGAATTTGAGGTAAAAGTGACCTAATAAGACCTCCTTATAGTACAGACATGTTTCCACATGGTTTGATGCAAACGATTTTTTTCCAAAAAAATGTATAGGATAAGCAGAGGATTCAAACTATTTTGCGGAAGTATCAGCAGAAAAAGAGCGTAAGTTAAATATTGATTTCCCCATAATGTTCTTCCATCTGTTCACTCTAAAACATTTGAAAAATGTATTTGGCAATCTCACATTTAACTCCAACATGTGTTCAAATTGTATCAATAGTGTCAACACCTATTATCTCCTTTTCTTTATTAAAGCTTTCAACTTATGCAAATAATATTGCTTGTACAGTAAAACTGAAAACGTTTCATTTAACGCAGCTTTTACAGAATAATTCAGGCAAGACTAAAGTTAGAAAAGAAAAAACTAAGGCTACATCCATTAATCAATTAATTATTTGATGTGTGTGTTTTCACAGGACCCTGGCTTCCTGGAGAAAAAGGAACGCTGCGAATATTTAAAAGCTAAATTAAGTTACATTAAAAACAGAATCCACACTTTTGACGAACAGGCCATGGAAAATGAATGGGAATGAAGAAGAACAGAGAGAAATGGCTTAAGCACCCAATGAGCAGACAAAACAAATAACCTTTTAGTCAGTGATTCATTGTCTCTTTTTTATGCTTTCTCATATGTTGATTGCATTGAATATATTTATTGCGTTAACAAGAAGTTAGAGGTTAACATGAAACCTGTTTTTTTTAACACCAGAGCTAATGCACTATAAGGGCTGAATGGTACACTCCTTTTGTATTGTGTTCGTACATGTAAATTCAGTGTTTTACCAGTGATTGCACTAAATATCTTGTAAAGTTTGTATCATAAAGGTTGGATTTTTGTAACTTACATGTACTGTATGCTGTTTTTTATTTGCACAATCATTGTATATTTTGTGCCCTGTGTTGACAGTTGGTTTAAATTACGACCTATGTTGGCTTCTTTGTTTTGCTCCTTAGGTGTGTTATGTAATACATGATTTGTATTGTCCTTCAGCTTTTTTATTTCTCTATGTTTATAAAACAAAAATAAATCTAGTTCAGAATTAAGTTGGGAGCTCGGTAAAGAGACTTTACAAATATTTGTTTAGGCTCTATTAGCCTGGTGCCTTTCTAACTTGAAAACACCAAAAGGTAATTTTGTTAATATGAAACATCTAAGATGCATTTAAGTAATTTGAGTCAACCTCTGGATGTTAATTTTAGACAGATATTTAGCGTCTGACTGGCTATATATCTAGTTTATATATTTAAAACAGATGTTTTAAACATACAAGGGACACATACCAGGACATTTTAAATGAATCTTCTATTTATGTGAAGATATAATAATCTATTCTTTTTTCAACTGCAATTAGGCCAGACTCCCACATTATATGACTATATTTCCGGTGTCCTTGTTGCTAATTTCTGCATTATCATTATCACTGATTGTTTTCTGCTCATTAATACAGTGACAGTCACTGCAGTGTCTATCAATAAAACATTATCAAAGTATTTTCTCCTCTTCTCTGCTGTATTGTGTCGACAGTGATATTCGGATGTTTTTTGAACAGCAGCATTAAGGTCAATAATGTTTGCTGCAGGCTGCTGTTGTTAAGCGGTTTGGACACAGGTAAAATGTTTAATCTCCCATAAACAAACAGCAAGTTTGTGAGAGCCGTTAAATGGTTTAACCAAGCAACATATTGGACAGTGTATCTCCACACCACTATACTTAAACTGTCTGAAACGGTCTGACCAAAAATATATATTTGTATGTATTTGTAATGTATTTTGACTCAAACAAATTAACTAGATATTTTTGTTTCTTGAACAATTATAAACGAATAAACATTATATTCAAATAGTAATGCAGTAATTTGCTGTTGATCCAAAAATCAATTAACTGCCTTTTATGTAGGTACAATGGACAAATAGTGTATGGCTACTTACAGAAGAACAATGCAACTTTAAAAATAATGAATGATACAGGCATTATTATTATTATTATAATTATAATTATTATTAATACAATGATGGAGCTAGAAGTCATATTCACATAATTAAAATATTCAAATTATTTTATAACTTGACCAGGCCTCTGAGAGCTACTTCTCATGCAGTCTTTAATGTTTAATGTCAGGGAGCTACAGCCTACATGCAGGACCTGTGAAAGCGGACACGTGTCTCTCCGGCGGGACAGCAGTGGGGGATCTGTCCTCCTGAGACACAGCCGCTCCGCAGGTTTCGTTTACGGGCTTTTTGTTAAGTGAAAGTATCCTTCAAAGGAAATGACTCGGTTTATGATCGTCGCTGAAGTATAAAGAGGACAGTGTGCGGTTCGAGAGGAGACTCATGAATGACGCGAGATATGAGCAGGACCTGTGCGAAGTTGAGGAACGTTTCCATAGTGCCCGGGTAAGTGTTTTACTCTTTGTGACTGATCATTTCAGTGTTAAAGTTGCTACAAAGTCTATTTCCTTTCAAAGTGATCAATTTGTTGTCCTGCTGAATGTAAGAACATGTTTAGGCTTTGATAATGGACGTTTAAAGCCTTTGGATATTAAGCTAGACACAACTATGGACATAGATATCTTTCACCTCAGTTTATTTGAATGTATTTATCTAATTCATATCATCACGAATTAAGAACAGAGGGAGACAAATTAAAGAAATATAGTTAGAAGTATTTTTATTTTTAAGCTTTTCTTACTATCTGAGGGCAAATTGGAAGTATGGTAATATTAATCATATAATGATTTACCCAAACACGTCTACCACAGTGGTTGGTCCTATTTTGTATCTCCCCTTGTCTCAGTGAGCAGGTGCACTCAGGTGACATGCCTCCTCTTATCTGCTGTCAGTCTGAATTATTGAAGCCTGTTGGGTTGAGTTCCTCTGGAGTGATGAAGCGTGGGTCAGCGTTATCCGAGAGGGGGTTCAGGGATGGGCTGAGGTGATTGAAGGGCAGAGAGGTGCATGCTGGGCCTTAAGAAGTGCTTAAAAAGCTTACTCACAACAAAAACTGCTGAAAGGATTGAGGAACAGGCATTTGAAATATTTATTTTTATGCATTTACATTCCTTTTTAAAGGGGTAGCTCACCCGTTTCTTTGTGAGAGTGTTAAAAAATACTGGCCTTCTCTCTATTTAATTGACCAAACTATTATTTTTCTACTGAAACATTTAAAGTAGATACTACATGGAAATCTTACAACAACCATCATTTTAAGATGACAAATTCAAGTTGTTGTGGCTTTGAGCACCACAAGCCGACAACCATCTATCTTATTTATTCCAGAGAACTGGCAGACATCTCTACAGCTGATATCTACAACACTTTGGCAAATCACACCAGAACAGTATTGATACATAGCTCTACAGGTAAGGGGGAACATTTTAGTTTTGGGGTGAACTGTCCCTTTAATAGTCAATTTTCTAATCAAGGCACACATGTTAGAATTCATGTTAAAACTTCAAATCTTCTCTTAAATGCATTACTATGTCGTGCTAAAACACATTTAAGCAAGTAATGTCATAAAAAGAAATTGCCCTCATGAATGACTTAGTCCATATTTTTCCTCTCTTCCAGGTGAAATTGCAGTAATATCCTCGAAATCATGTATGAGCCTCGGTACTACGATAGCCCCCCTGTGTACAGCCCACCTTACAGCACTAACTCCCACAGCTTCTACCCCCCACGGAGCGTCCACTCCCCGCAGAGCCAGTATGTCCCCTACACCAACAACGTCCCCCCGGACTCCCACTACATGGAGGAGAAGCCTCAGCACTTCTACCGCTGGTTTTCTCCTCCTGGCTTCGTCAAATCCTTCCAAGGAGCAACGGTCCTCATGTGCTTTCTCATCTTCGCCTGCGTGGCCTCCACCTTAGTGTGGGACATGAATGGATTTGGGTACGGGGGCTACGGTGTCGGGGCTGCAGGGGGTGGTGCAGGGATGGAGTCTGGATATTATGGAGGCAGCTACGGCTACGGGGGCTCCTACATGACGCCACAGTCTGCCAAGGCGGCGATGATCTCCATGGCGGCCATTAACTTCCTGGTCTCACTGGGCTTCCTGGTGGCCAGTTTCTCGCGGTCACGGATCATGAGGGGGTGCAGGTTCTACCTCACCATGTTCATCTGTGATATCATCTTAGCTGTCCTTCAAGTGAGTCTCACCAAATATGTAATGTGTCAATTACATTATTAGCAGTGAAGGAACAGCCACAGTTGTCACATCCAGCAGATACAAAGAAGCATTTGGAGTTGAAGCTGAACATATAATATTTCCTCTCCTTTTAGCTCTGTTTTGGTCTCCACCAGCCCCTGAGTAAAATATCTGTTACTTTAGCCGCCAAATACTCCACTCTGTTCATCAGCAAGTTGTTAAGTCAACTTTATTGCCAATCTTTCAGTTTGTGTGTACAGACAGAGAGATCGAAATACCGTTTCCCACAATCCCGAGGAATACAAAATAAAAATATGTATATAGATATATATACACAATCAACAGACACATTTATACATATGCACACATTAAAGACATAAATAAAAGCACAACAATTAATATATACAAAATAACAGTCACTATGTCTATCATCTGTTAAATACCAAGCAGAAAGTGTACCGTGTGTTTATTATAGGCAGACTGCAACTTGCTGTCTATAAAATAAATGTAATAAAAACTGTGAGAATGTACCAAAACAAGAACATTTGCAGGCCAGAAAATCTAAACAATAAACTTAAAGGTGTCAAAAATCTCTCTAGAGCTGAGGGGGGTTACATTATAGGACTAGATTAAAAGGAAATACATCACATGAAAGAAGTCATAATAGCATGGGAGATCATTCAAATATAATATAGGATACATTTAAATGATTACTGTGAGTAAACATGCCTTTCTTTTGTCTTTTAGGGCATCATTGACATCATCTTTGTGATTGGGGTGAACCCGATGTCTCAGAGCTCACAGAGCATGCTCTACAATCCCATGCTGATGATGTGCCAGAGCATCCAGGGCAGTCCCAGCCTCAGCGGCAGCATCGGGGCCGGGTTTCCAGGCGGTTTCCCCATGTACAACCAATACCTGTACCACTACTGCTTCATGGACCCCGAGGAGGTTGGTTAGTGTTAGAAAAATATCACACGTTACCGGCTTGAGCTTCAATAATCAGGATCCTGTATTTATTGTCCTTTCAAGAATGGAAGTAGTCATCACATACAGCACTGCATGGGACAAATAGTTCCCAGAACAGTGTCCTTCACATGCTTTATATACAAGACAGGGTGTTATTCAGCCAGAAGATACATGTATACCGGTCCAAAGCAGTATTCTATGCTTAGTTCAGATTAGCTAAGGCCCACGTAAGCAATAAACATGACTGTAGCGGCCAAAATCATATACAAATAAAACAGATAATTAACTTAAAATAATACAGCCGCTGAGGCACTAGTTAGCAGATCTTACGCAGGGCAATGATCCAGGTCCAGACAAGAATCTCCGTTGTGCATTTATTATGATCCAATATCATTGACAATGAACAGGTTTCCTATGGTTGGTTCCTTTAAGCCTCTCCTATGGCTTTCCTTTCTTGTGGTTGGAAAACCCTGGTAAAAAACCATTTGCCTACTAGTGCTCTGGCTCCCACCTCCACCTGTCTCCAATATATAAAATTACACCAGGTGCTCTAATCACAGTGCCTTCAAAATAAGAGCATAGAAACTACTTTAACTTATGACGCTAACTAAGAATACATTTCCAATAAACACTATAAACCGCAAGAGAATACATTTTAAACTATTAAATAATATAAAGAGATATATAGCTCCAACAATGACAGTCATATGTCTATCTCCATAGAGGCTGAATCATCATGTTAATCGTTGTCACATAGCTATCATATGCCTAAAACAGTCCTGACGCTCTTCTAGGTAATCATACATCCGGTTACGTACACAGCTTCGTAGGGCCTTTGTTATCATGTGCTACTCTGAAATTGGAAGAGTACATTCAGTATTTTCCCAACAGTTAGATTATTATTTACTATTCTACTGACATCTATTGTATTGTATCCTGATCTATGATTTACTGTCTTTCCTCAGGCGGTGGCGTTTGTGCTGGGTCTGATGGTGGTGTTGGCCCTGTCCCTGTCGGCTTACTACGCCTACAAGACCCGCAGCAAGATCTGGCACCACGGCAAAGCTAACATCTACTGGGACGCGCCGAGGGTCAGGTCTTCAGAGGGCCAGGATGTACAGGACTGGGTGAGATGCTTTATGATTTATAGCTTCATGATACTTATACAGAGGATGAATGAGGATTGCGTTTGTGTAAATGAGCGAGTTAGAATGAAATGATCTACAAAAGACTTGTGGTTTGGGTTTATTTCAATGTTTTCCCCCAGGCAAATCACATCAACAAATGCGCTTACAATCTCATGTTTGCTCTTCTCAAGTTTCCAGTGCCAATATATACACGTCGTCAAGTCTCTTGGTTTTTGTGGCAATTTAGTTTCACAAACTCACATTAACCTGCTGCTGTTGACTCAGAGAACGCTGCCCTTTATCTGCGGCACTCCCAGGTTTCACCCTGACTGATCATTAACCAGCCTAGTGATAACAGCAGCACATGAATCATATAAACAGGAACATTAAGCAACATTATACGATTTTCTGTATAAGGAAATGCTGCCTACAGTATAGGTCCGAAGACTATTTCTGGCTGAAACCAGGTTTTAAGTTTCAGGTTGTTTGAGCTAGGTTTATCACATACTTTTATTGCACAAAGTCATGATCACAGCTTTTCTTTATGGGTGGCCTTGAAACAAGTCAGAGAACATAAATAAATGACTCACTGTGTTCTTCAGTCAATCCTTAAAATACTATGATAGATTGAATGATGATCAAAGCAGCTAAAATAAATTTAAGCTGGCAAATATTTGCTTATATATTTTCTTTAAAACATTGCCATGCAGACCCGATTCTTTATATGATTAACCGTTGGGAAAATACATTATTCACCTTATCCTTCCTTAATCATTGATAATTGTTATGCAGTACACACAACACTTTCAAATCAATCTCATTTATGTTTTAGTTTATTCATCATTCAGACCAACCAAAGGACCCAAAAGACTTGCAGCGATTTGGCAGTTTACTTTTATTTTTGCCTGTGGTGATGATGTGGGTTAGTTAAGCTTTTTTGTATGCGCTATATACAGATTTTAAACCACAGATTATGTCTTTGTCATGTTGAAACAACATTAATGGGATTATGTTGCATAAAAAAATCATTCATCATGACTCACAAATCATTATGTAAAATAAGGCAACACAACATTTAAAAATACAGATGCAAACATTGAGTCAGAGCGTAGAGAAACAGAAGGACTCTTCTCACTATTACACTGACGTCACTAGTCAGTGTTCAAATATGTATATCGACCCATATATTTTACTTTTCTTCAGTTAAAATTAGCAGTTTACAAAGTTTCTTTGAACTATACTTTCACAGACAGTGAAACCGTTGTGATGCTGTCCTTTTTCTCGATGTGTAAAGCATAAATAACCGACTACCGCTCAGATCCCCCCCGCTGGCTGAGAGCCGCTGTCCCAGCGCATCAGTGCATTCAACAGGTTTTCACACTGCTGTGGAGCCCTGTCAACGCGGTGCTGTTTGTGATTCACAGTGGTAAACTCATGTGGTGTTTAGCAGTAATTAATATACTACAGCCGCAGATTTCTCTGACTGTACCATGTCCTACTTGACTCATTATGGAAGAGAAGGAAAGCACTCAATTAGTTTAGCAGCGAGGCCCTGGCCTACATACTGCCTATCACTGCAAAGGATGGAGTGAGTCACTTCGTGGAGATGCACTCTTCTATTGCACTGAAGATGCTTGCCTTGCAGGGAGGCATGTATAATGTATGTGAGATGTATAATGTATAAAATGGGTTGTGTTGCCTCAGTGTTGCTGTGTGAATCCCTACAGTGTGTGGTGGCTCTAAATGATTCAGTATGAGATGGGACTACTGCACATTAGACTCCTGGCTAAGAAGTCATTTCCATGTGCTTACTGACACATTGCTATCGAGCATAGCTGGAAAAGAGTGGCAATTAAGTGAAAAGTTTGTAGGGTTACTTAATTAAAAGCGAACGACCCGCACTTAAGTTGAAAGGAGAAGAGAACTGTCATGATTAGTTAATTATAACACGATCAAATTTGCGTGGCATAGCTGTCTTAAAGGTGGGGTAGGTAAGTTTGAGAAACCGGCTCGAGATACACTTTTTGTTATATTCCATGGAATGCTCTTAACATCCCGATAGCAATGAATATCTGAAGTGCTTTGACAAA